AAAGAGACTAATTTAAAGATTTGTTGTATTAACGGTTAAATTTAACTGCCTCTTGATTCTCACACACTTTGTTGTTTAAAGTATATAATTTTGGCTTTTAATCTACCTGTGTATCATTGTTCTTGTTTCTCCTCTAACCTTTAAGTCAATAAGCTATACATATTCAGAATAATCTCATCTGCCATTTTAAATTGCAACCATACAGTATGATCTCTGTAATGCCCAAAAGAACTGTCCCTCCTAACCCAATGACATTTACTCACCCCCTCTTCATTTTTTAACCTGCAGAGGAGAAGCCAAAGTTCAAGTAAGTTTCCTCCATACATTCACCTGTATTCATGCTAAACATTAGACAAAAAGAGATATTAATAACATCAGTTACATGCATACCATTGCACTCAAAAAACAAAACAAATGCACTGTGTTATAGGCCCAGCGCTCCAAAGATCCCAGATGGTGAGAAAGTGGACTTTGATGTAAGTGTGACTAAAATGACAGTAAGAAGGTTCTTGGTTTATCTCTAGTATTTACTGCTGACTGCTAAATTCATTTTTTTTCACTGTGCAGGACATCCAGAAGAAACGTCAGAACAAGGATCTGATGGAGCTGCAGGCCCTGATCGATGCTCACTTTGAGTGCAGGAAGAAGGAGGAGGAGGAGCTGATTGCACTAAAGGAGAGAATTGTGAGTCTGACTTGTTGATTTAAGTAGATTTTCTTCATCGTTACAGTGACACATGCAGAGTAAGTCTATGAATATAAGCTCTACAAAGCCCGAGTGCTGAAGGTTTGCTAGAAAATATAAATATTTTGCTGTGTGACCGAGACAAACACAGAAACAATACCTTGACAGTAACCACATGAACAGATATCTAATCTTTTAAGTGCACTATACTACAATTAATTGATTAATTTATGTCTTTCCTGCTTCAGCTTCTTAATTTCCGATCATAATTGCTGCAAAGTATCTGATATTCATGAAGATGTAATTTTGACAGATTCTTTAATAAATGTTTCAGAAAATGGTCCAATTATAAAAAATATGGGCCTACATTTTTCTTAACTAGACATTTACAGAATCTGTCTCCTAGTTATTTGGAACACATATCTGTGGCAGACCCTGGTTACAGTCTTTTTACTGAGATCTGTTTCTTCTGTACCTTTAGGAAAAGCGTCGTGCTGAGAGGGCCGAGCAGCAGAGGATTCGTGCTGAAAAGGACAAGGAGCGCCAGGCCAGACGTGAGGTTGGTTATTCTTAAAAGCAACATTTGTGTTCATGATTTCATATGTTGCCTTTGGATGTATACTTCCCTTGATAATTGTGGCTATGGTGTCACCTTGTTGGTTTAGGGGTAGACTAAGAAGTTTAGCTTGTGGATGACTTTTGTGTACATAGGAGGAGAGGAGGATAAGGGAGGAGGCTGATGCCAAGAAGAAGGCTGATGACGACGCTAAGAAGAAGTCGGCTCTGTCCAGCATGGGGTCTGGCTACAGCAGTCACCTGCAGAGGGTCAGTATGTTTATCCTTATGCTGTCCATGAACAACAGAGAATGTTGATCTGCTCTGAGCCTTCATCTGTACTGCACTGAACAGGCTGACCAGAAGAGAGGAGGAAAGAAAGAAACTGAGAGAGAGAAGAAAAAGAAGATCCTGGCTGCTAGACGCAAGCAACTCAACATTGACCACCTGAACGAGGACAAGCTGAAGTATGACTGATTTTCTGTCACTAATTAGGGGGAGTAGTGTTCTCTTGTTAAGAGAGTAAGCCATTCAGGCTGTAATATTAGATATGCTGCAAACCACATCTTGCAAACTTATGCTTAGAAATGAATAATGCTTTTATAAAGCAAATCCAGGTGTGTAGTCTGATATTTATTCCTGCTTCACAGTTTAGTATTTTACTTTTCCTCTACAATTTATAAAGTAGTGTCTTAAACAAATAGTGTTATAGAATTAAAACTGCAATCAGAGCTTTTCTCAGGACGTAAATGAGTATGACGTATTTTGACTAATTATTAATTCTTAACAGGGACAAGATCAATGAACTTTACGACTGGATGCGCCAGCTGGAGTCTGAGAAGTTTGACCACATGGAGAAACTCAAGCTGCAGAAATACGATGTAAGAAGAGTGTCTTTGGCTCAAATGTTCACATTTTGCTGCCTTAAGAATCAAACTTCTCATGCTAAGATGCAGGTTACAGACTCAAATGACCAATAACATAATTTCTTTATCTTCTTAGTATAAAACTATTCATTTTAATTCAGTCTATTTGTTTTAAATAGCACCAACTCACAACAAATGTCAGATCAATAACAACTAATAGTCATAAAGAGAATTTAACATTTTAGTGCAGACCCTCCGACCATCTATTGATATAGATATTTAGTAGACATTTTTGTCTACTAATAGCATTTCTTTTGCTATTATGTGATTCACAAAATAAAATAAAAATAATCTGGTTATTTGTTTTCATTTCTGCAGTTGCCTAATACCTCTTGTTAGTTTCATTTTTAAAACTAACTAAAGAATGTGAATAACTTATTTACTAAAAGCTCTCTCCTTAAGAATGTAATTTAGTTTTTTAATGGCAGTTTTTTTTTTTTTTTTTACTTTTTAGACATAAAATACAAGAAACAATTTGAAAGTTGGATGTTATTTTGCAAGTATCAAGTTAAGAATATAACTTAGATAAGGAAATATTTGTGTTTCTGCTGTGAACACCAACTTTCATTTCACTCATTTAAAAGGGTTAGTTTTAGGTCATATTTCTCCAGAAATTAACATTTTAATGTTATTTTATTCTCTTCAGGTTACAAGACTGCGCAAGAGAGTGGAGGAGCTCAGTAAATTGTAAGTCACACAGAAAATATTGTAGTCTGCCAGGCTTATGTCATGTCAGCATGAAAGGATGTCTGAAAAGCAATCTACAACCTTCCCCAAATAATTTTATTACGTAGGGGTCTAAACCTCCCAATATGCATTACACAAAAAAAGTCAAACATAATTGTGGATCATTGCTGTTTAGTAGAAAATCTGAAAATGTTGAGTTTGATCACAGTTTCCTACTGTCACATGTAAATGTGATTCTGGGTGATGAACTTAACCACAGCTTTTTGTTTGTGAGTTTGATTCAGTAGTTCTGACTTTAGAATGAAGCAGGTGTGGGTATGACTGAAACTGGGTTACAGAAATTCACTCAATTTCCTATTTAATAGTCTTTGTTTACTTAAAACTAGATTTTTTTGCTTTAAAACTCAACGTTGCTACTAAACATGGGAACATAATTTTTATGGCAATTACTTTACATGGATTTTACAGGCATAAACTGTTTTTTGTGTGTCCTTTAGAAAAAAATTTGCTAAGTTATTGGTTCATGGCTACAACACTTTAGTTGAAATAAGTTAATATGGGTGAGAACTCAGGCAGGTGATTCAGAGCCTACTGAGGTTTTCCCAAGACAGGAAAACTGATCCATGTTTGGGAAACCTAGCTGTAATTTTTTAATAAGGTGATGCAACATCATCGTAGGCAGAAAGTTTAATAAAATCCTGGATTATTGTGATCTAAGATTAATGTACTGTGTTATATTATATAGGCTATTTATTTAGTTTTATATTAGGGTCATAACTGTAATCCTAAATGGATGAATGGATAGATAAGCAGCAATTTAAATTTTGAAGTGTTTCATATCATTCTAAGTCATGCAGTTGGACTTTTACAAGAGTAAATCAATTAATTTAACCTTTTAAAATTAAATAAAATTGCTTCTTTTAAAGTTGTATATTATACCACACAGGTACCGTTTTGTATCCACATAATTTAGTATTTCACTTTATCAATCAATCAAACTGTATCATATAGGTCCATAGATTAAAAGCGAAAACATTAGGGCACAAGCACATACATAAAATACATGAACAAAATAAGAGAACAACTTAAAACAGCAAACAGAGTAACAGAAATAAAACTGAAGCCAGTGGTCAAAACAGCCTGATATTTCTGTTCAAGTTGGATTAAACTCAATGTGAAAAATATATTTTTTTTTAAAAAAGGAACTTAAGAACATTAAAATAATCAACTTTCCTTATAGTAAAATGAACATTGTTTCAGAGTTTTGGAGCAACAACATAAAACGTTCTCCCCCCATGAGTGGAAAGATGCATTATAGAAACATCTAAAGCACATGTGTGAAACTCAATCCCTACATCTTCGTTTAATCCAGTCCTCAAGAGCCATAAATGGCAGATAAAGTCTTATGTTTAAGGCATATATTCTTTTAAACATACAACATGGCTAAAATGTTCTAAATCAATTTAAGGATATTTATTCCAGAGCAGTGGGATTTCTCTAAATTAAATGATGAACTCAAAAGTTTCCTCTCTACAGCTGTCCTTTAAGGACTTGATAATGCAGCAGTGCCCTGATATAATATTGAGTTTAACACTACTAAAAGGTTAAAGTCTTTAACATATCCTGGGAGCATGTCTGTGCAAAAGTTTAGTTAGATAATTAGACGGACCAATTAACACATTTCTAATCAGACCCCTAAAATCAACCAAAACAATCATTTTTTAATGACGCTGCTGCAAATGAACTGAGTAGGTTCTCAGAAAGTCTGGTTTCATTTGCCGTATATTCTTTAAATGGTTTACTTTCTAAAGGGTGTGAGAGTCTAATTTGTTTATAATTAATGTTGACTGTGTCTTAAAATGATTAAGCCAATGACACGACGCTCCTCATTGAATATCTGCCATACTGACGATAAAAACAAGAAGTCACAGATCTGATATGTCTCCCTACTTTGTTTTTGGAATTACAGCAGCAAGAAGGGAGCCGCTCGCCGCAGAAAGTAGATTGGCTGAGCCCACTAAGTGCTTGCAAACCAAACTGCCATCATCATGGACACATAAAGGATGAAGCAAAGCGCACTGTGGAGAAGGTTACACCTCTGAAGAAACTAGTAAAGCTGAGGTTCACCCTGTTGTTTCTCAGCCATGTCCCGAAGCCACCAGGAGCCTTAAGCTGCTGTTCACTAGGAAGAAAAACTACTCAACCTATATCATGCTCCTCACCGTCAACTCTGTGGTTCTCAGTAATTTTGTAAATAAAGTGTGACTCTTCAAGCCATGCCTGTAGTTATTTAGAATTTCATAAAGTATGGTCTTTTCAGATGTGCAATCTTAAAAGCTTTCTGTTCACCACTATTTTGTTTTTTCTATGCAGGAAACTGCATTCAGGTCAATGTTTCAATCATCCAGTTCATTCAAATTTGAAAAAAACGTATCTTTATTTTCTTCTTAATCAGATTGCTTTGATTCTAAATGTCTTGTACAAAACAATGAAGACTGAAATTTGGTTCTCAGCCTTCTTTGCCATAGAAACGGTTCTTAGGGATGTCCCAATCCGATACTGATATCAGAAATCGGTCTAATATTAGCTAAAAAATGTGTATCAGAATATACTGGCCTGTATCTAAAATCTGCGATATGAGGTTGCTGATAGAAACATTCTGCTTTCTGTTTAAAGTTTCTGTCACCCATTGGAGAGTAATAAATGGGTAAGTTGTTCTCCTACACATTGCTGTTGACTACTGTTTTATTTTTGGGGTTAAATCCCATAATCAAACCTCTTCTGACATTCCACACTACAAAAAAAATAAATAAATAAATAAAAGTATCTAAGAATTGTGCTGATATCGTATCTGTTCAATATCGATATCAGTCAATACTCAAAGCTGCAACATCGATACCAAACTGGAAATGAAAAAGTTCTATTGGGACATCCTAAATACTTTAAATTTAAAAATTTCCAATCAAGTAAACAGATACGTTTAAATTTACGATTTCACTTCTAAAAGTTTAACCAGTTTAAATGAAAAATATTGTAAGATGCTTGAAATCTGATGTAAACCTCAAATCATTAAAGTCTGGATGCATTTATCTGCAAAATGTGCAATGTTTATTAATAGATGGCCTACAGCTGTTTAAAAGCTAAGAGATGTTTTGGTCGGTCCTAAACGCTAATGTGTAATATATAAGTCATGATCCCAAATTCCTCCAAACCAGAAAACAACAAATGAATTAATCAATGAATTGATATAAAAAAAGAGGATGCTGTTTTTCTGGGTGGATCATCAAAATAAGTTGTCCTCCTAATTGTCAATCATTCTGGTGATATATTTACGTTAGGCTGTTCTATGTGCTCGTCCCCATTTTCACTTACCTGTGGTGAGTCTGACATAGTGGAAAAATTGCAAATCTTCTTTTGGACGCAAAGCTTGTATGAGCGTTGCAAACAGTAACCTTTAAACAGAGCTTGCACGAGGAAAAATAGGCTCATACACGCTCTTGCTTGTGTTTAATAGGCGTTCCCTCCTGGGAGCAGGCACAGAATTCTGCATGAGCATTTCTTTTTAAAAGTGGAGAGGGACAGGGACGGTCTTTTCTAGAATTCATGAAAATCCTCCACTATACCTTTAAAATGTCAAGTTTTGTTGAGCAGACTAGTTTTTAATTCATCTGTTATTTTGCTATTAAGATAAAATACTGACATTGTTTCAAACAGATAATTGTATTCTTGATTTAGCAAAATCATTCTTCAAAGGACATGAAAGTAATACATTGATCACTGATTTAGAGAATGTACAACAATAAAATAAATATTCGGAATACAGAAGAATCGCATTTCTAACTTTACCCTGCTAAAAGGAAATATGATAACTTTTTAAAGAGGTAACAATCATTTCAGCTAGGCACTCACATGGACTGTTTTTAGATGAATCCCTGGTATTATTAAAGGGTTCCAAGACATCAACTGATGTTTTAACGTTGACAGATTTAACCTACCGAATGTGAAACAGGTGAAAATGTCAGATTTCCTATTGCTTAAACTGAAGGCTAAAATTAACTGTTGAGAATGGATCAGTAAAAATACGAAGAGTTCATGCAGTCTCTTTTCAAACAAAAATGTTTCAATTTTAAAGAGATTGCAGTTTGTTAAGGGCTGTTTTGTAGTACATTAGTTGTCCATGTAGCACTTTATTACAGTCTAAGATAAAAACGATCAGAGCAAAAAGTTTACTTCAAGGACTTTCTCAGTCTTTAAAGCAGAAATTTTCAACACCAGTTCATTGGGGATAATTATCCGCAAATCTCTTATTCAAATAAAAACAAGAATTAATCATCTTAAGTCACTGGTGTAAAGTCATAAATAACAAATGTTACAATTACAATCAATCTCTTCTTTATAAATATTCCAGTAAAATCATTTTATTTTGTCTTTCAAACAATTTTCAGCTGTATAAATATAAAGGTGGCAATCTCTTCAAGACAAACAATAAAAAATACAAACATTAAATACAATGGAAAAACTTCCCATTCAACAAATGGGCTCTTATTTACATAATACATAAGGAAACGAAAAAAGTATATATACAATGTGCTGCAGTAGCTAAAAGACTTATGAACCTGGATTTTGACAGGATGCAAAATGGGTGCAAGATGAAGCCCAGTGGTAGAAATGTAAAAAATAAATATAAGTACATTTTATTAACTTGTCTGTGTTAACTTTGTTTCATCAGATTTCACTTTAGGAACATGAGTTGTAGTTTAATGTTTGTTCCTGTGTTCCTATCTATTTAGGATTTATATGGAAAAATGAAGGAATGTTAATGGATGGTTTATAGCTTCAGTTCATCAAATGCATTAACCTAAAAAAAAAAAAAAAAAAAAAGTGCGGCTAAAAAGAAAGGATATTAGTAAAACAGACTTTGATTGCAGTGAAATAATATAATCTTTGAAATTCTTTTGCGGCTGGAAAATAAGCCATTTTCAGTTTAGGATTTTTTTTGCCCAATTTCTGACAATTTCCTACCAAGGTCCCAGTTTTAAAAAGAAAAATGTACATAATAGTACTTTTATATGTATAAATACCAGTAAAATGTCACAAAAATAAAAGTAAAAACAAGTTATAATAACATTTTTATCTTGTTCTATTAATTTAGCTTTTTAGACAACTTTGACATGAAAAATTTGAGATTTATCTTTTAATTAAGACTAAAATAAAATATAAAATAAACTTCTTATCAATTTTAAATTAATAAAAAAAAAAAAAAAAAAAAGCTGATTTAAAAAATACGTTTTACAGGCTTAGGTAACTGACTTCAGGGCAGAAATGAGCTTTGACATGAAATAAAAACAAGGCTTGTAGCCACAAACAGCTGATGAAGACTCTTCTAAATAGAAAAAAATTAAATAATTGTTTTTTTAGTTACAGTGGTTTTCTGTGAGCTCTACAATCAAAGCAGCACACTGACTTCCCAGCTGGCATTGAGTCAGAGTCTCTATAGGACTTCATAGATGGGGTCTGGGTCCTGGTTGGTGGTCGGGGAGGGGATTTGGATGAGCGCAGGGGCCTTTCCTGCCTCGCTGCTGCTGACCGTGGAGATCCGCTCCACAATGCTGGACAGGCAGTCCAGGCTGGAAACCATGGAGCTGCGCTCCCTCTTTGGATCAGCTGCAAACAGCCAGAACAACAAACATGCATTTATATATAAGTATATAGCTATATATTTTTCCACACATTTTCTTTGCTCTTAGGCTACTACATATTTCATATTTTCCTCTTTCAAAAACTCTGTTAAACTGGAGATTCTTCTCACCGATTGCTTTCCCAGAGAATATTGAACCGCTGCCAAAGCTTCTTGTCCTGTTTGGACCGTCATAATCTGTCTGAAACAAAAACAAACAAACAAAAATAAAAATGAAACATCAGAGCATTTCCACCATATGTGACTCTGAAAGCCTTAAAACCAGGTTTTATATTCTGACTGCAGATAAAATGACGCGTAAATTGACGCGCGTCAAACCTAAACAATATTTTTTTATTTATAGGCTACATCGATGAAAAAACCGCACCAACAAAAAGTTATACAGGCTACATATTATTNCACCAACAAAAAGTTATACAGGCTACATACCATTATTATTATTATTATTATTATTATTATTATTATTATTATTATTATTATTATTATTATTATTATTATTATTATATAGTTTGTATATATATTATATAATTCGGATTTTAGGGCGCAGGTTAATTTTAGTTGGGATTTTTAAGAATTAGAAACAGCCAAAGTAGTTTATTTTGTGCGCAAAACCGTGAAGGAAAACGCGTAAAAATATAGCTACATTTATTTTAAGGTGCTGCGCTGATAAGTTAAACATCCCACGAGTTCAAGTTCAAAATTAATTACAGTCTTCACCTTTATCTTATATTTTTTAAATGAGACAACTAAGCAGGTAAACACTAAAGATCATTTTTTTTACCATTCCATCGGAGCAGTTGGAGCGCGGACTGGACGCGTCTGAGTCCCCGCTGTATGTCTCCAGCAGCGGGTAGAAGCTCTCCTCCTGTCCGCCTCGAAGCAGCGCCTGCAGAGACTCGATGTAGCTGATGGCGTTCCGTAGGATCTCCACCTTGGGCAGTCTCTGGTTGGGGTTGCCCGTCGTGCAGCGCTTCAGAGTCTCGAAGGCGTCGTTAACTTTGCTGAGCCGCCGCCGCTCACGCATGGTCGCGGCCTTTCTTCTGTCTGCATTGGTGGTCTTCCTTTTGCAAGCTTTGCAGGCCCACAGCAGGCAGCGGCCCGCTTGATGGTGCCCGCTAGGGGCCCGGACGTGCTCCTCATCCTCCGCCTCTGCGCGCTGAAGGTGATGATGCAGGTGGGAGTAAGGTGAGGAGGAGGAGGAGGAGGATGATAAGGAAGAGGAGGAGTCCTCAGGTTTCAGCGGGACCACATGCACCAGCCGCGGATCCAGGTCCTCAAAGAAGTGCATGTCACTGGTGTTAAAGCAGGGGTCATCATAGAAATCATCCACAGCGGGGCTGGGGAAGGAAATATCCGACAACTCCATAAGTGGGTCCGAAGAATACAGAACAGAGTGCAGAAGCAAACAACCAGCTTCCAATTGAAGTGTTTAGGCAACAGCAGAGAAGTGATGCTTGATTTCTGTTCTTTCAGCAGCAGTGAGCCTGGGGCCCCTGGATCTTATACATGGCTCAGCAACAGCTGGCAGGGTGAGGGTACTGGGGGTCCACCGGAGCTGACCAATCTGCTGCCAGCAGGAGGGGTTTACAGCTTCACGGTAATAAGCAAAGGCCAGATAGGTAAAACAGGGCATCAGAACCAGGGGCGGAGCCAGAAGGGGGCCAGGGGTGACCATGGTCACCCTTAGCCAATCATTGTCCACTCCTACCATTTATTTCCCTCTAATACAGATGGTGGCAAAACATTATAAAAAAAAAACAAACAAAAAAAAAACACTGTGGTTAATTATGCACATCAATATACTAACATTAAAGATGATAAGTACAGAATTCATGCTCTTTTCAGAACTAGATTTTAGGTTTTATGAGGTAAAGAGAAAATGATGTGTCTCTGCAAGTCTTCAGTGAAATCATAGATAAATAAATATTTTAATAAAAGCTTATTAAATGATCAATTTATGTAGATATTAGTGCTTGTAAGTATCAAGTTTGTACAGAATAATTACTGATAAAAGTAGGTAAGTAATGACAATGGAAAACATGTTCACCCAAAACTCAAACCTGAAAGAGTTTTATCCACTATACCTTTTATGGAGAAAGCACAGATATTTGAATATATTCATCCATTTGTTTGCAAAGGCTGTGGGAAAGTATAGTTTGTCTTTATTTAGAAAATATTAATTTTTTTCTCGTTAATGTTCTTTTTGGAACAGTAGAGATTGACCGCGAGGTTTTGGCACTTATCCGCTTTTGGCCACCTCTCAGTGTTCATTTGTTATTGCCTGGACACCCTTATTTAAATGTTCTGGCTACGCCTCTGATCAGAATGACAAATATTGCTTGTAAGGCATTGAGCTGTTGATTACAACTAGAAATTAAACTAAACAAACTAGACAAAATTGTCCAATGGTAGGATTCATTTTTTGTTGTTTTTTGTTGATAGTACAGAAGGATTTATAATAACATTGACATTTATTCAAACAGAATATGCTTTAAAAGCAACAAATATATGTCATTATTTAAGCTGATGATTAGAATATAATATAAAACCAAAGCAATGTTAGGCCTTAGGCCTGTTGACCTTTAAAATTTAACTTTTAATTAAACACATGGATAAAAAGAAGATGGCATATACCAAAACTGTGATTTTTTTGTCCATGTTTTATTCTGATAAGGCTTTTACATATCCATGAGTTTGCAATATTACTTACAAGCTAACTAATTATTTGTTGTCCAGGTTTAAGATATGAACGTTACATTTCATCCATCCCAACTCAACAACACTGGTGTTGAAATTCAAAAAACGTCCATCATGAGTGGGAATATTGCATAGGATTTTTTTATGTCATAACATATTCTTTTGGCTGATTCTTGCTTGTGTTTTTCCCTTGTTTTCTCTGTGACCTCTTTCTCCCTCGGGTCTCATCTCTGAAGGGTAACCTCAGCTGTTACCTATGTCATTTAAACCCCAACACATGAAAATCCGGATCTACATTTTCTTTTCCAACAGAACACTCAGATCATTTTGCTGCACCACACACGAACAGCAGCTGGAGGGCGCTGCAACCAACGAGGCTGCAGAGGTGGCCTCTATGGGCTGGAACTGATCACTCTTTGACAGTGCAGGTGTGAAATGCACTAGTCCTACTGTAAAGGTGTCTTATTCTACTTCAGCAGCAAATGGTTTTCCTTCTTTAAGGAAAACAAAAAGAATATAAACATCTCCTAGTATGATTAAAAATCTCTTGTAAAAGAGACATTTACTAAGCCATGATAATTCATTTATAAGTTGATCTTTTTCTTCCATAAAATGTTCTAAATGTCGTTGACTGGTAAATTTAGACCTTTATTTGTCATTTAAAGTAAACAAACACTTCCATAGATTTGTCTTTCAAGACATTCTCAGAAAATTAAATATGACGTTATCAGGTAGCCTTTGAATGGTAAAAAAAAAAAAAAAAAAACGAATCCTAGAGAACAATATTCAAATTTGCTTAAAATACACATGAATTAAACCAGTCCTCTCCCATTGTACTGTAGGTTTAATTAGAATCCGGAAATTGTTCTTTGCTCATGTTGTGCTGTGATAAGGATTGTACCTAGGGCCCAAAAAATACTGAGGTCAAGAGTCAGAACTTCTAGTCGGGTTTGTTGCCATGTGCCACCAGAGATGATTATATTTCCATTATTTAAATCTGGCCATTTTCAATGTCTTCAGGAGCAACAACTTAATATTGACTTTTAAAAAGGCTTGGCTGTTAATTACCCCTCTATCCATCTACCCCCCTACCAGACATACATCAGACACTGTAAACCATGATTTACAGTAATGTCATCTTTCTTTCAAGCTTCTGTCTACAACTGGTTAGAACTGTGCCACAAATTGTTTATGCATGTTGTAATTAGTTGCTTTATATTTACTTGAGTTTTTATAATAGACACCCAGACCCTGTTACACTATATTGTTGATGATGCTGCCTAATCGAACATATTTCTATTATAATCTTACACAATACTTCAGTTATCACGCATTAAAGATCCGACTTTTAAATCAGTTCAGATTCAGTTTCTTCCTTTTCTAGTACCTGCTCTCCCTCTATCTCTCCCCTCACTGCTCCTCTTGCTGCTTGGCCTGAAAGCTTAGTTCGACGCCTCACTATCCTGTTATTCCTTTAGTGAAGTATGTCAACACAGTCAAAAACTGAATTGATAGAAATGAAAACAACATGCATTTCAACATCATGTTTCAAAATCTGTAATTTCAACATGTTGACATGAAATGCAACTAAATTAGTTTCCCTGGTTCCAAAGCAGCCCAGTATCAAAGAATAAAACAGTAAATCTAGCTATTAATAGGTGTAAATATTAAACAGACTGGATAAATATGCTAATTTAATGTATGTGTAAGTAAGTATGTAAGATAAATAAAGGAGTCTACAACATTACAGCAGTTGTAGATTAAAATGGGGCATTTTGAGGCTTTTTGAAGAACCATGGTAACTCTTGAAGTAATGGCAAGTTACCACAGATAACTATTATTATTTTAAAATTAACCGGATTTTTTATTTTGTTGCTCTGCATGACTTCCAATCTGCTCTGTTTTGAGCTCTGGTGTAGGTACCAGATCTGCTCGGGTGGTCAGATCTGCTCTGGGCCCTGCCCCTTCTTATGACGTCAACATATGGCAACTCCACTCAGCAAGGGTGTAACTTTGCGATAAAAGTTGCTGGGGATACTCTAAGGATAGTGGCTGATGGACCTACAGCTACTCAACCCGAACGCTTTCAAAAGGGTTTATATTTTCCAAAAATTAGCTCAAACATATTTATTGAATGCTTTCCTATTGTTGAGAACACAAGAGTACGACAATACCCTGATATTTATAGTTATAGACAGATGCCTGCCTTTAGTGCATTATTTATAAAGGGTTAAAAAACATTCATGTATAAAATATGACGAATAACAGCCGATACTGATCAATATATCATGCATCCCTAGAAAGGACACAATTCCATCCATCCATCCATGCATGGCTTCCCTTTGAGCTGCATCCGTGATTATCCTCCTTCACAAGCAGCAAAATCTAATTAAATCTAAAAGAAATGTGTCCCATATGTCGTTGAGAGCCAAACTCTATGTTTTGAACCTTATATTTCAAAATACACTGATTTGTGTTATCTGTGCTTTAATTCTTGTTTCTTTATATTTTAATTTTAAGTCTGTGTCCTGTGAGTCTGTCTGCTTCTGGGTTGCTGGCACAGCTATTTCTGAGTCTTGTTGAAACAACAGATATGTGTTCATTTTAATCTGTAACTCTGAGTAATGGTCCTCTGAGAAGCCCAGCTTTTTAAACTTATATAAATGTACAGTCTGTTGCCATTTTTAGCTGAAAAAGGTTGTATGTGTAACAAACGGGTTTTTTGGTGGCATCTCTAATTTTTTTAACCAACCAGTCTCCTAACTTTTACTGAAACATATATCAAAGTAGCTGCTGGTTAATATTCACTGAGTGCTGCTGTGTCTCTCCTCCTCCACGTAGTGACTCTGTAGACAGTGAATAGCGACCCCAAATAATATTATGTCCCAAAGCGACAGATTGCATGATATTTCAAGAGGTGGGACTTGAGAGCAGCAGGAGAGCGAGGAAAAAACATGGACTGAAAAAGCTCTGAACACAGACAGCTGCACCCAACCCCAGTTACTGTTGGCTAAAGTAAATCAGTGGAAAGGGGGGAAAAAAGCGGAAATTATTGGTGGGGACATGTCCACACCTGTCCTTCAGAAAGTTACTCCAGTGCCAACTGAATTGCACCCGTTTCTTAAGAATCAAATCTCTTTTAGACTCTTACCATATTATTACCTATATTTGCTGGTTGATTGGTGATTTAAAGTAGCCGAAAGTGAAAACAATCATTGTCAGCCTTAAAGGGAAATGCTGCTTTCTAATACTAAGCTCTGCTATTGAACAAGGTGACATAAAAGTCTCAGCTTATTTTTATTCTTTATTAAGATCTGAGGGTAGAGGACAAATAGGACATCTTAAAAATGACTTTCATAGAGATTTTAGACAAATGAAACAGTTATTCTACTCGTAGAAAACTAACGGTTGTTGTTGATACAAAGTTAAAAGTAGTGTAGCTTAATATGGCTAATATGGTCTTGGAGTTACTTTGTTCACCATAAACTTTTTTTTTCAATTTTGTTGTCTATCAGGTAAAACGTCATGGGTCATTAGACACGCTAACACTACAGAAGCTCCCGACTCGGCACACGGATGCTGGGTAATGTTATTATCGTTGTCGGGGCAACCACAATGTTTTACATCATGTGGCAACATTCAGCCAATCATGTAGCGTAACGTCACAGGCATGCGTAGAGCCCGAGCAGATCTGACCACCTGAGCAGATCTGGTACCTACACCAACATTCAGCAGAAATATAAAACAGGTTCAACATCCAAGACTGA